CCACGAAAGTCRAGGAATGAACAAGTAAAGGAAGACACAGTTGAACATACTGATGTGCAAGGGTACTCGTTAGGAATTAGAACCAGAACATCTCCGAAGGCATTATGGGAGACGGTTAAAGCATTAAACTCTAACCAAAGGGCTGCAATCAAGGAGATGGGATTTGATGCGTTGCTTGATATGACTTTATTCGGCATTCCGTCTAAATTAGGTCATTATGTCGTGGATATGTTAGATACGTCGAATATGACAATACAATTGCGGGATGGACAAATACCTATTACAGTCAAGTCGATACATGATGTACTGGGGCTGCCAACGGGAGGTTTAGACTTGAATCTGGTTGCACCATCCAAATGCAACGATGCAGTTGTTTCTGCATGGCGGAAACAATTCAGTAAAGATAGAATGAGGCCGAAGGACGTGATGAATGTTATTCAGCAATCCGATGACGCGGGTGTGATGTTCAAGATGAGTTTCCTGGTCATCATGTTGAATACGCTTGCATAATGCAACAGAGTCGGTGTTTGCAATTTGGGGTTCCTCAAACGCATTCATAGCTTAGAAATGATCCCAAGAATTGACTGGTGCAAATACGTATATGATTGCATAGGCACGAGCAAGATGTGTTGGAAAAGAGACAGTTTTTTGTCATTTTAYGCAGGACCCCTGRCCTGTTTAACGGTAAGAACGTTGTTTCGTGACACTATATAAATCAACAGTTTTTTGTTATTATTTAATCAACTGCTATGTTTACTTTATGCAGATGTTATATGTTCAAGCAACAACATGTGACGGCATTCAGAACCAACARCAAGCATATCCATTGWGAACTTGGACATTGGATTTACTRAGGAGAAGACAAGACTTGGAGCTTAGCAGAGGGGGTTTTGGATACACAAAATTGAAAGGTACTAAACCCATTGAGCGAGGTTCGTACGATCAAGCAATTATAGATCATCACACAGCAGAGGATAKACCTGAGTCTAGCAAAACCAAAGAAGCAGGAAATCAGAATGTTACTAAAGAGGTTACTTCAATGATCTCATTCAATGTTCTTGCTCCTCTGTACATATTCAGTCAAAAAAAAATTTTGCATGTTATTCTGCCTTCCGATTGTGCATAATATCTTATTTTTTATGATGGTGTTTATGGCCAATGTATGAACACAAGTTAATAGTTGATCCGTTAATTCGGTGGGGCGTATATGGTTGTGTATATGTGGACTACATAAAATGCACATATAGTATAAAAATAACACAACTGTTAAATTATGTTCCTATTGTGTTCATGTTGTTCATGTTTGTCCTAAATGTGATTATATGGGCCGAAATTTCCAGATGGTAATGTTGTTCATTACTTAACAGCTGGTAACGTTGTTATTTCGGAGGGTGAAAGTTGGGTATAAATGTTTGAAACTTCATCATTATGTGTTCATAATGTTGACCTATTTTCACAAGCTGTGTACATGTGTAAACCGTCATAAATATGAGTCAATATGTGTTCACCAGTTGTGTAAATGTGTGTTCACATGCTGTGTAAAAACTCACAATTCGAGTTTCATGCAATTGAATGTGAAAGTTGATCAACCCGTTGTGTGCTTAACGTACAGTTGTGTCTGATTGTTAACATCAAACACACAACCTTGACTTAATTATATATGCAGATTGCACATACAACACTGTTACGTGTTTTTTCTGCTTTTACAGATTGTGGATGGTTTTGCAGGAATGCATAATTATGATGGGTGAGCGAATCGAAGATTTGTGTTCTGCAAGGAGGGAAGCAGACACAATGTTGCAAGCATACATAGAACGTTTTCCCGGTGAAAGATGYTTCGACCAATTCAAACAGGAATTGGCGAGAATGTTTAAAGGCAGCATGTGGGAGTGCCGAAATGATGAAGGTCAACCTAGAGAAAAAGAATTGCCACATGTTCATGTAACACCTACAAAGATGACGACCACATCCGACCCGGCAATGTTATCACCTTTATCACAGTTCTGGACAATCCCGACCGTGATTGCCGAGGTTGACCGGGCGTCAAATGAGAGAGCTGCTATCACAACAAAAGGAGTAGGATGTAACAGAGACCCGAAGAAGTTTGAAAGGGTGAAGATGACATAGTTAGAAGCACCATTGGAGAGTGTTGGTAGGGTTCAAAGCAGAGGCATCGATGAATGTGAGCCTCGTACAAGTAAACTACGTAGACATGCACAGACAGGTAATCGATATGCCTGTTTTTCGTATGTTAGTAACGTCACCTTGTTCCCATGTCTCGTACCAAACGGTCTCACACAAAAATCATAACCATGTCGTATAAGAACATCATAGTGATATACCAAACAAATGACAAGCATTTTATAAACACCATTTGCATGCCCGTATAGTTTCTTGATTTAATACTATAATTCTTGCATCAACGTCCGAGACATTTTATTCGTATGCAGAAATCGAGGCGCCAGCTTTCGATTTGGGAATAAGTCCATCAAAGGACGCGGTCATTGCTTGTATTGATAGTTCGAAAGCAACAGGTGGACAAGAAAATRTGAGATCTGAAATTCCAAAAAGWGATCCGAAACTAAGTTTTAAACTACGATCACCGTACRTTACACGTGCGGTAACGTTCGAGGTGAGTAGTGACGAAAGGAAGTTGCAAGATTGGATATTACGRGGCRTAGRCGGKATTTTGTAAGTTACATTGTCTACTATTTAAGTAATATTTTTTGGTCAAATATGTATTATTGTCATTTGGGATGGTACTACCTAACGAATTAAACATGTAGTGAGCCGGTTTTCATGACGATAAAAGGGAAAGCTATAACACGTCAAACAATGCAATCCCTTGTATCTCAATGCGTGGTTGGCTCAGAAATTATCGATGTCTGGTCAATGGTGCTTAATAGAGAGGAGAGGATGAGGAGCAATGAGTCTCTTAGACGCTATTTTGTACCAACGGACATTTCGGTAACAGTATATTAATGAATGTTGATGTAACCGCCATATAAATAAATTGTAGTCTATAATTAACCGTACTTGTGTTTTTTTTTTTTTTTTTTTTGCAGATGGATGCTATTATTAGGGATGAAGATTTGAATGCTAACCAGAGGTATGATATATTCCGAAAGAACATTACATGTTGCATGAATAATGACAGAATTGATCAGTATGCGTAACATTGATCTAGTAAGTGTTTTTTCATTCGATCAAAACTATACGTATGATATTTAAGCATTAATTCAAATGGTATCAACCAGACACGACTCTTAAAAAATGTAGGTATTCTTCCCGATAGTAGAACCATCGTTCTATTACGTTGTAGTATTCGATCTCAAGCACCCATCAATTGCCATAATAGACAGCCAGATTCGTGATGGAAAGGTCGATGATATATATGGCTCCAGCACTGTAGGCTTGGTACATCAACTTTAAATTTTGTTTTTGTCATGATCATTATGAACATGTATTTACTTTGTCATTATTTGTCATGTATGCAGCAAGATATGATGATTATGCACCTACTAAGAGAGGGACATGGTGCGTGGAAAGTGTACGCTGAAATGGATCAGGACCATATAAAGACAAGGTGGCAATTACGCGAGAATACAGTGGACGTTGGTGTTATGTTAATGCGGCACATGGAGACATTCTTTGGAGGAGACGTAGTGAAATGGGACTGTGGGTTGTATAAGGAGAGTACCAAACAGAAGAGACAGTTGAAGGATCTCAGAACCAAATACTGTTCGAAGATGCTACTAAACGATGTGAACATCCGTAAGACCTCTATCGTATATGATGTAGAAAGGTTCATTGCGATGGAGACATCGTACAATGCTAGGAAAAATGGTGGTGCACGACAGATGAGTCGGGGGAGGAAATAGATGTTTGCTTATTGTGTGGTTACACATTTATGTTAACTGGTTTTTTGTAAGACTTGTTTTTTGGATATTTGTGGTCGTGTAACGATTTCAGACATAAACGTATGTCATGTCTGTTCATATTTTCCGTATTTGATCAATCAAATGTTTTTTGATGTTTAAATTTGCACCAGGTTGATATAAACAAATCTATATTGCGTTATCGTGACAATGCACATCGCCTGAAACTATTTCACATTATAAATTGTAGCATGACATTTATTAATCTGTAGTGTACACATTATTAGTTGAATGATTGTTGGGCATGAACAAAAACAAATGATGAACATGAATAAACATTAATTGGAACCTGTTTACAATGTGTACAACGAAAAGGTGCATATCATTTCATCTAATCTCACACACACACACATATCTTAGTGGCATGGTTTTTCTTGCTGTGTAATTTGGTTGTTATTACTAGCCTGTTTTTTTGTATAAACAGTGCAAGTGGTATTCTCACATAAGTTTAGTACATTTTCTGGACACCTGGAATAACTTGTTTGATCTAATCCAAGTAAATCAACAACAAGATGTTAAAAAACATGGTTAGCCAGTAACGATAAATTGAACACTAAATCATAACTTCAAACACACATAATAGAATAAATAATACAAACGAACAACATACAACTAATAATGTTAACCGCAATCTAGTTAATGTCAACCACTATTTACTTCAGCGTTTATTTTTTGCAACAAATCAAAAGAATTAAAACCAAAAGACAACTGTTTTATTATGAAGACCATCCGGATACAAGAAAAACGTCAACATATGAATCATATCCAACAATACAAAGACATGATAATATTGGATGAAGTTCACTATTGTTCACTAAAACACTTACCAAATAAAGATATTGTCGGTAATTATGAAAACCGCACTTACGGCATTTTTTATTACTCCGTATTGGAAATAACAACTAGTGACTAAGACATCTATAGATTGTAATAAAATGAAAAGTAGAGGATGTATGTCAATCATAAGATAACATAAACCGAAATCGTAGCATTACAAAATGTAAGATTGACAACAACGAAACATCCCCAAAATGATGATATTTCCGGTACTTCGACAACTGATTACTCTATCAATTCGGGGCAATTGCGTGAGTCATGGCTGGTACGTTGGCCATATGTCGCACATTTTCGACGGGCTTTCTTGCTTACAGACTGTATTTTCTCAGACACGCTTACCAACCTCTTACCAGTACCACAACCCTTGTTCCTTATTCCAGATGGTGGTAGGATGTCTACATCATCGGGTATGGAAACACCAAGGTGATCTCTGATCGCGTCCAACTTTTGTTGAGATGGGTCTTCATACGGTACTTCTTTCTCGATATCAACCATGAAATTGTCGAGATGCTGCTCCAATCTAGTCAGTATCGATTTATCATTCCGGACAATGCTTATAATGTTGTCGACTTTGGAGTATACATCAATTATTGACTTATCCTTCTCCGCATCCACCTCACCGTATCGAATCTTAGCGGATTGTATCTGGACAGGACCAGATTTTGTTTCCATCGACGTAAAACATATTGGTTCGGAATACTTTCAACTTCATCGTTTATTAGAACCTTAAATGCATGACGACACAGATAACCGTTACGCGTGAATAGATTGCACTCGAATTCGACCGTGTTGGCTGTGTAGTTTCGGGATACCTAAAAATAGTTACGTTAGGTTCCGAATAACAGTAGTTCATAAAAACCAACCCATTTAAAAAATTTAAATTCCATGTAAGGGAATATTGTACCAGATACGTGGTATTGACAGACGATTTCTTTTTCTTGTGGCTTATAATGAACATTTTGAGATCACCCCGACATTCGCCAGTCTCTATACTACAAGAACATACAGCCTTCTTTATTTCCTTTTGGATGTCAAAGAACACATTTCGACTGTATACCCTTGATGCTTGACTTTCTAAGCGCAATGGAGTAAACAACTTTGGATACGTTGTCCTCGTTATTGTTTCATGCACAGCTTACTTGTACCTTTGTTTCTCTATAGCAAATTTATAATTGTTGAGGAACTGAACCAAATCAAACCAATATGATTCGTATATGTTAATATACAAATTTGAACTCTCGGATCTTGATGTCGTTTTCATAAGACCAGACATCGGTGTGTCCTTATAAAACGCCGAAATCCATGATGCGCGTATTTCATACATTTCTGTGAACCACGGATCACGACCTAAATTGTATTGCTCGATCATCTCTTGCCATTTGGTCTCGAATTCCGATGGACCAATATTTACGTTCCACACGAGCTTGTTAATAACCTTATTGAAAGAGGATCTTGATTTAAGGCGACACTGATCTGCGGACGTATCAATCACAATATGAACCTATGAACAGTGACGTTTACTTATGAAATAGAGTTGTTTATTAAAGTGTAATTACCTTAGAAGGCACTTTCTTCATGATGTGCCACATACATAGTCGGTGCTTAGCTTCCGTA